TAGTTAATGCATCAGTTTCATGAATGTTGGCTACTTTCTTTGGATTCACCCTCTCAAAAGGCGATTGAAAATTATTGGTAGTCATCTCTTCAATTAAAGCATAAGCATCATGAAATGGTTTTGACATCAATGAACCACCAGCAGCGACATCGATAATAGATCTAAGAGAACCAATTAATCCATTATAAAAGCTTTAAATTATTAACCAATCTGGTATAGCATGTTGTGGACACTTTCTTAAGGGTTTTTTAAATTGTTCTCATGCTTTATAAATAGATTCCCCTTCAAACTGATTAAAAGATATAATACCATTTCTAAGCTTCGCAGTTTTTGATGCTGGAAAATATTTATCAAGGAATTTTTGTTTTAAATCTCCCCAAGTTCTGATAGATTCAGGTGCTGACAAATTCAACCACATCTTAGTTTTATCCCTCAGTGAGAAAAGAAATAACCTAAGTCTTATAGCATCATCTGAAACACCATCGTATTTAAATGTAGCACACAATTCTAGAAAATTGGTAAGATGTAAATTTGGAACTTTAGTTGGTGATCCCCCAAACTGACTATTTGATACCATTTGGATAATAGTTGGTTTAAGCTCAAATGAATTAACCACTACAGTAGGTTTTTATAATTTCTTAAAGGTCTAAACTCTAGATGAATTTCAGCATTTTGATTATTTTGGTTTGTCATTTCTGTAATTTTTTAGAATTTTCAAGATTTGTATTTTTTTTTGTTTTTCTGATTTTTCTAATAGTTCTTTCTAATGCAGAACTGTAGGGCACTAGTCCTTCAGAACCTGAACTACGCATACACTAGCATAAAATAAAATAAAATAAAACATACAAAATAAGATAATATATAAAGTTTAAATAAGACTTTCTAAAAATAGAAATTTACATAGTTTTCTTTCTTTATTTTATCTTTCCTCCCAGGGCAACGACGCCAAAAACTTGATCCCAATTTTTTTGTATATGCAAGGATTTATGAAGTTGACACCACTACTTGAAGATTTTAATCCCTGAGAATGACGCCAAAAACTTGATCCCTGGATACCTAATGCTTATGCACAGTATAGTAATAGTTCTGATGGTATTTTTTTTCTTATGTATCCTTATTTTGCAACAAAACCAAAAACTTGATCCTGAAGAAAAATAAGAATTTAGTTTTTTAATTTATATATATTTTTATTGGGATACTACACAAGTATACATATCATTATCAAGTAGTATAGGACTTTTTGATTAAGAAATGAATATCGAACCCACAGGGAAGATTATGCAATATGCACTTTTTAGAAAGTTTTTCTATCTTTAAAATGAAAATTACTTAAATTCAAAACGATTTTTGTAGGAATTTAAAATTAAAATATTTTTGGTATTTTTGATATTTTAACGAAACAGTAAAAAGATAACTAAAATTTTTGTAGAAGAAAGTATTTAATATGAAAATATTTTTCTTCTTATCATGAATCAATAATAAGCATATGAATTCTATTATGAAAGTATGCAAATTGTGTTGTGTCAAATAAGAGCAATAATATTTTTTACCCTTACTAGAGATGTTATAAAGAACATTGACTAATTTAAAGTTTGAATAGTTCTGAAGACCGGTTAGGCAGGGAAGATACTAGCTCTCACTCTACAGTTCCCTCAATTCCCTCCACCTGGGGGCTAACATTCTTGTATCAGAAAAAAAAATAATAAACCAAGTTGGCGGCTTTAACCTGTCACTTTAAAGTTCTCTAACTCTACACCCATCAATGAATATTT